CTAACCGAGTGAAGTTGCATTACCCAATTCCATTTATCTCTTTGAAAAGATGCGGCTTCCCGTATGATTCCCGAGCTTTTATTCCCTTTTACATCCTCTGCAATCTATTTTTCGATTTAGTACGCAAACAAACATTACGCGCGATTTAAAGCTAAACCATTTGGCGCTTAATTGATTCGGGCGAAATATTTTTGTCGCGGCGTATAAAATAATGTGCTTTTAACGAACAACAAACAGTAGGTATTTAAAACTGCGCGCGTGTTAACGTCGCATTCTTTTAAAATTGCTCTGCGCCCCGCATCACCGGGTAAAATTGAAACAAAAACAGATTCTATTTTCAATTGCGCAAAAATGCCCGCGACAACGCTCGCTCGTTCGCTCGCTCGCTCGCACGAACGGCACGATAATACCTCGTTATTAAAGTTCCATTACACGCGCGCATTGGTTCGCGACGAGACAAGTAAACGACTTAGAATCGGTTACAAGCGGCACGGCTTGAAGAACTGAGACGCGAGAGAGTTCACGCGAATCTTTTTCCTCCTCCTCTTCCTTCTCTTCCTCTTCTCCTCCTCCTCCCCGTCCCACTCGTCGTTTGTACGCAGCGCAGGTAATCTGGGGAGAAACGTTGCCGGGATTATTTCAGCCGGATCATCTCTTGCAGCGTTCTCGGCTCGCGGCCTTAATAACACCTATGTGTAACGCAATTGCGCGTGAAAATTAAACACGTGGTCTGCGAGCGATAATAATCGCCGCGACCGTAAAAAAAAAAAAAAACGCGCGCGTTAACTTACGCGCCACGACGAGTTGGTCGCGCGTGTAGTGCACGCACACCCCCTCCCCCCTCCCTCCACACATATATACACACACATACATACACACACATACACACACATATTCGCCGATCGGGAAGAGCTGAAAAACGCGCGTGCGGCGCTTTTCCGATGACAATCAGACCGCAGCGACCGCCGACGGAATCCCGTCCGCGTTCCGCCACGCCCAATAAAAGCCACCCCCGTTTTCCACCCCTGCTCCATCCGTCCCTTCGAAACCATCTCGTCGAGCGGCCTAATAAATCCGACAGACGGGATTGGCGTGCGCTATCAATTAAAAATGATGAAACCGAACGGCGCGCCGCGCGCAGCTCACCGCGAGCGAGCGAGCGACTAGAGCACCAGCCGCTGCATCGCGAGAGCCGAGCTGATTCCACCGCCTTGTTCGTTCTGCCGTAATAAGCTTAAGCGATTAGGTATACCTCGGGGGTGCCCCGAGACGGTGTTACGGTTAGCGAGCGACGGGGGCGAAAATAAACGAGAGCGAGGCGTGCCACTCGTTTGAGAAAATTGGAAAAAGTGCGCCGTCGACGAGGAAGAGAGAGAGAGAGAGAGGGGGGAAGAGGAAGAGAGAGAGAGAGAGAGAGAGAGAGAGAGAGAGAGAGAAAGCGCACGTAGCGAGATGGTACACTGTTGGAACGACCACGAGGAAGATGAGAAGGCGGAAGACGGAAAACAAGCAAGCAGCGCCAGCAGCCCGGCCGGTTTTAAACGCAATTTAAATTTTTAATTGCGAGTTCGCCGCCGGAGAACGACGCCTCTGTCGTTCCGCCGTCGCGACGCGATGCAACGCGACACGACACGACGCCACGCCGCGTCACGCAGCGTCGTTTCACTCGTTTACTCATACATCGCGACCTTCGCGCGTGTTCACTCGTTCAAGTAATCTTTTATTTTGCCATGAATTTTTTCACCGTTGGCTCCAGATCAATGCTCGTCGCAAAGCCCGTGTCCCGGACGAGTGGATGGAAAATATTGTGCACAATAAGTGAAAACGAGACGAAGTTACATTATCTTTTAACAAGTTTGATCTATTTGCTTCAAATAACTGTTCACTGCTAGAATTTAGGAAAGGCATTAGATGAGTAGAAAATATGCAAATTTTCCGATTAACAATTCGTCGTGTCGGTCTGTCTGATATGTGTTCAACATGAACGCAGAAGTTTATTTTAAGATACTAATTTATAATTTCGTCCGCGAATTTAAGCGGTGTCATCGCTGTTACTTTTAATACACGATATGACATGATGTCAATTGCGCCGTGCCATTCGGTTGAAGTGCTCTTGTGAAAAAGCATAGCGCATAATTTCAGCAATATAAATCGCTGCTACAATTTATAGATCGTAGTGGTGTCGCGTGATTCTCGTGCATTCTCCGCTACCGAAACGTAAACGGGATCAACAACCCTTGTTATTGCACTGTACATCGAAGCCCTGACAAATTTTATGCAATTCACGATCAAGAGACGCCATGCTCCCGATAGACGACGTCGTAGTTTAATAAGACGGGTCTCGTAAAAAGAGGAGAATTATTTTCTTTCTTATATAAAAACTCACATTCGGTCACGACTACTATCTTCGAATAAACTTACTTTTGGATAATCCTCTTGTCTCGGTGGTGCTATTAGCAACAACCTGCAAATCCTCGCAATTCTGTTAAACTACAAATATTTTAAACGTTGAAAAGTTATATATATATATATATACGTATATGAAATAAATGAAACATATATCCCAAAATTACATACGCGCTTGCGCGCGCACGCTGAATTGTGTTTGCAGACGCGTTTATGCACGATCATTACGTTGCGTTCCGGCGAGTTATCTTTACTTTTGCGACGATTACCGCGTACGCTTATTATATCATTTCCGGAGCGAAACGATGTTGTTATAACACTCATGACTTAATTTCACACCGCCTCCGTGAGCGAAGCCGGCGTTGCGTTACGGCGCGTGATCGAGAGATTACGAGTCTTAATATTGCGCCTATTCCGGCTCTTTAACAACGCATCGGCGCTCGTTACACGCTTTATTACTTCTTTCGACGCGCCTTATTATTGGAGTAATAATTTCTCGAGATAGCGTACATAAGTACTCGGCACGTTCACCGTTCATCGCGGTTTCCTCGCGGCTTCCTCGCGTCGCCCGTGCGAAATTATATCCTATCACCCGCGAGGCAACACGATAAGCGAAATCATTTTATCCCCTCTCCCTCCCTCGCCCTCAAACTCTACACGCTTTCACAATACGATTAGTCATTTGTTTAAAGTTTCTTTCTTTTTTCGTAATCAACTTACTTCTTCGATCGCCTATCTGCTATCTACTCGAGGGAGCGAGAAAAGAGGGCGGGGTGAATTATAGACCGAGCGGTATTACCAGTGATGCGCTTATCTTGCAATACGCGAACCGCTTGTTAATTACGAGAATGAAAGCTGCTCCGGCTCTTAGACGCGGATCGGACAGGAGGAGGGGCGTTTGTTCGTTCCTACCTCGCGCTCGCTCCTCTACACCGTCGCTTACTCTCTTCCGAGGCATCGCCCGTCTATAATCCACTTAAGAAGCGAACGGTAATTCCTATGTTTCTTGCATTGCGTGTTTAATGGCAACCCTAACGAGCCGAATGTCTACGACACTACGAATTAGTATGGTCGCCTCGATGAAGCCTTAATTGCAATCGACGTGTAATCTTGACCATCGCCGGCAGGCGAGAGCCTTTAGAGGCGATGGAAACTCGAGGTGGGCGCCTCGGTAAAAATCAATTCTGCGCTGGACAAGGTGAGAGAGAGAGAGAGAGAAAGAGAGAGGGTGCGAGGGCAAAAGAAAGAAAGAAAAAGAAAACGGGGAAAAAAGGGAAAAAGAAGCAGGTGCTCGTAAGGTCGCTGGTCGAGTTATTATCCCAACCGTGTTGCCGTGAGCCCCGCCCAATAACGTAGCAAGGTAGTGACGACGGAGCCGGAACTCCGTGATTCTTTCTTCTCCCTTTCTTCTCTTTTTTTCTCCTACGGACTTGCTCATTGGCTCTCTTGGTTTCAATCCCCATCCGTCCCACCCGAGAGGCGAAATGCATTTGGAAAAATGAAATTATCGATATCGCGCTTTCTCCACCTAATTGCAGGCAGCGTGTAATAACGTGCGAGGTGTACAAGCGTGACGTCTACGTCACACAGCTGTTTACCTTAAAGTATGCTTAACTGAATTATTCTCACGTACCTTGTTATTTCCTGCAATTATTACCGCGAGATTAATTTCACGGCGCCACGAGCTTTCCCTCGACGCGAGATTTGTTTGATTCTCATGACGTTTTTACGACGAGCGAGAGAGAGAGAGAGAGAGAGAGAGAGAGAGAGAGAAGAGAAGAATTGAGAAACACATTGACTTTCCGGTTCTATTTCTCTGTTGAATCGCGGGAACCATGGTAGCTGCGGCACTGGCCGTACACGCCGCTCGGCAAGCGTGCCCTCGGGAGCCTAATCGATGCGTCGTCGCACGCGACTGCGTGCTTTTATCGCTGTCACGCACATAATTAATTTAATTTAGTTTAATACGCCGGCCCAGAGTGCCAGGCAGCGATTGCCGTTCCGATTGTTTGCACGGAAACGCCACCGTTATCCCGGGTTATCCCCGTTCGCAGGAGCACGACATTCGTATTCGTCAAATTTCGGCTTCGCGGAAGTGAAATAAAAATTCGGCCCGTGCGTGTGTCGCGCGGAAGCTCGCGACTGTAAATAAATAGAGAAAGGGAAAGCTCATCCTGTGTGCGCTACGCGCAAAACGACCTACGCCACCGCTCGGTTGGCCTTCCTGCCGCTCCTTGACATAGGCGGGTCTTTCTTTTATCTCTTCGTCTCGTCGCGGAATTGCTAATTATCTTTAATTACAGAGCAGACTGATAGAAATATCAGATACTCTTGTCGACGTAGTTAACTCTAATAGAATTCGACGTCGGCCCATTAAACGAGATCTCCGCGAATACCAGCAAAACTTTCCTTCCTCGTCTCGGAAATGTATATCCTCTCACTTTTGCATCGTTACTTTTGCACCGGCAAAATCGTACTAGGAAGAAAGAAACGACGTGTTTCGCCGTCGGTCGGTTTGTTCATCTATGTGCGCGCGCGCGCGCGTGTGTGTGTGTGTGTGTGTATGTGTGTACGTGTGTATATGTGTGACTCACCTGGACACGAACTTCCGGGAGGTTGACCTTCATGGCGAGCTCCTCCCTGGAGTAGACGTCCGGGTAGTGGGACTTCTCGAACGCCCGTTCAAGCTCGTGCAGCTGGTAGGTCGTGAAGGTCGTCCGGTTGCGTCGGTGCTTCTTCTTGCCCCCGTTGCCGTTTATGTCGTCCCCGCAGCCCGCGCCGAGTTCCTCGTCGCTGCCGCCGCCGGTGGAGTTGCAGCTGTTCTCACCTGGAAGCCGCGAGCGAAACGGAGAGACAGAGGGAGAGAGATAGACAGACAGAGACAGAGAGAGAGAGAGAGGGGGGGGGGTAGAGGAGGGGGAGAGGAAGGGGGAGGAGAGTTTGCGAACGCACGCGGGAGAGGGAGAGAGATAGAGTTGGTCAGGTCTCCTCGGAAACGGTCGTTACGGGTAATAGGAGCGGTAATAGTGATCGATTTATCCGGAGTCGCAGCTATTACCCCCATTATGTGCGCATAATAGTAGCTATTAGAAGTGCTGCAACGCGTGGCCACGTGGAATTGCACACCCACGTGCTCACGCGTGTGCGTGCGTGCGTGCGTGCATGCTTATATGCGGACGTACGCTTACGCGTGTACGCGTGAATCCGGTCGCACATTAAAACGTCATTCGCGCCCTTAAAACTTCTTTCTCTCTTCCTTTTCCGCCTTCCCATTTTCGCCACGGTGTGTGAGCGAGCAAGTGCGAAATACGACGCGCGCCACGCCTCGTTGGACGTAAAAGAGACAACGTGGATTAATTAGAGTGTTCGACGTTTAATGCGCGCGCGGTGTTCGACGCTGATTACGGCCCGATGTGTGCGAGAGCGAGTTAGCCTCCTCCTCGTCGAACGAGAGCATGCACGAAGTATCGGTTTTCACATTTCCTCGTGACGATACAGCAATCTCAAAATGAGCTTTCAGAGAAAGGGAGCGGAACGGAGCAGGAGAGAAAGAGGCCGAGAGAGAAATAAGATATGGAGTGCGGTAACAGCGTTTTACGTGTTGCAAGTTGCGCCATTATAACATTTAATAAGCGTCCTTACGAACAGGCGCTCCACGTGACATAATATGGACATAACAAAATGGGCTACATCGCGGGATACTCTCCTGCGAAGAGCTCGTCAATCATTTTAAGGAACCAAGTGTTTTTGGCGACACAGTTTATACACTCGCGGAATTACCGCGCGAATTAATTTAAAGACTGGACTTAAACTGGATGTCGATTATCAGACTTGACAAAAAACTGTCAAGTGATGCAGTCGCTTGCGAGAACAGCGCGAGCCATTTATTTTATATAAGATGCGCTCGTTCGCCCGCTTTGCAATTTCTTTCATCTGGTTTCTCCGAGCACTTTTAGAAAACAGATGCAAGCCGCGGGATCTCTCCGTTATCTCCGTTCCGTTAAGCGATGAGAGAAGTATAGTCTTCCATGCAGCATAAAAAGCACGAATGTCGTCGCATTTGAGCGAGCGAGCGAGCGAGCGCGACCGTGCACACTCGTTCACTCGTCTCGCATATAATCGTCCGTTAAAACGATCGTATCTCCAATTAAGATTATAAAGGACGGACGCGCGCGCGCGAGCGCAGGACGGTGATTTGTGTTCTCGAGTTACCGCTGCAATTAATCCACGTCGGCCGCGTCCTCACACGTCGCGCACGACCTCGCTCGTCTCGGCGCCCGGCCGCCCGGCCGCCCGCTCGGTGCTCGCCGACGCCGACGCGACGCGACGCTACGCGACGTCTCGGAAGGAGTCGTCTAATCGTTATATCCCGAGATAAATTGAACAATCGCTGTAAGTGCGCGCCGACACGCAGCCTTTTCTTTCTCTCGCTGCGAGCAGCGCCAGCGGCTGACAAGGTGGCGCACGGCCACGCACGGGCGACGGGACGGGACTGCGCGCACCCGTTGCATTTGTAGGGCCGTATCGTCGCGTCGCCGCTTATCCGGCGCTTTATTAAGCCGACGACCACGTTGCCGCGTCGTTATCGTTAACGAAAGGAACAACGGCCAGCGGCGAGGATTTACTTACGCCGCGGCGCGATCACGCGATCATTTTCATTGCAAATAACATCCGCGATGGGCATTCCGGCCGCGTTTGTCGGCGAGGTGGCCGCCGCTCTCTCGTGCCACCGCTATTTCGGTCGAGGTCTAATCGATTTAAGCGCGGGATTAATTATCGCACCGCGGCTGCGATACGTCGTCGTGCTAGCGCGAGAGCGCGTGATTCGTTGCTTCGTTGCCAAAGTGCGGGCTCATTGCGATGGGAAGATTCGCACTGACTCGACGCGGAAACGGCCGAGCTTCATCGTCATTGCGCGATCGTCATCGCTCGCGCGCTCGGTCTTGTCTTCCGACCGACAAGTGTGCGATTTTGTTCCTTCCCACGATTTAAACGAACAGACGCGCGTATGCGTGGAAACTGCCGAGAAACGGAGCTTGCTCGTTCCGGGGAGAACTCGCGTATTCGCCTCTTCTCCAGGCCGCCGCCGCCGTCGTCGCCGGCGCCGCGCGTATAAATTACAATTTCCTCGCGTGAATTACACGACCGTCGTCGGACTGTGCAATTTCGCGGATTAAATCGTTAAGTGAGTAATCGCGCGTGTAATTTGCGAGTGCTTTGCATCGCCTTCCGCCACGGCAGAATCCCCGAGCGCGTCAACACGCGCGGCGCTTCCAACGAGTCATTACGCTACCTCTCCCTCCCTTTCCTAAATTGCACGTTTCGGAAAGTCGATGATAGCTCGCGGCCGACCGCGAGCCCGATCGCAGAGCTCGCGTTGTTCCTCACTCGCGCACTTTAATACCGTGGCGAGAAGTCGAACGGCTTTGACCGATCCCTCTTGCCCTCCTCCCGCTCCTGACTTCTTGAGAATTTCTTCAATCTCGCGTCGAATTGTCACTGAGCCGATATCGACATTCACGAATCGCGCCGGAGCGCGGCGCGGCGCGGCGCGGCGTTCCTTCGATCGTTTCATTAATCCCGCGCGATGTGTCGATGACGGAGAAAAACTTTCAGCGTCATATTCATCATTACCGAGCGGTTGAGAACGGACTCAAGACTGATCTGACGACTGCAAATTCCCCTGCTCGATTCCTCGAGGGGACTTGAAGGGAGCAGCTAACGAGAATTGGCGCGAGCGGTTTGCGCTCGAAAGGCAGAAACGAATAAGACGCGCTCCCATATATATATAACCTTCCCTCCCTCTCGCGCGCCGCGGTTCCCGCCGGAATTAATACGACTATACGTTACACAGCGTGGAGAGAGCGCGTCGCACACCGGGCGAACTATTACGCGATCATTTTCCCTGCAAATTACATCCATCCCCGGCGCTGCGGTTACTCGTCGACGAACGCCCGATCAAACCTCGCATTATTCCCGTCCCCGAGTGTAATATCGTCCAAGAAACCGAACAGCGCCACCGACGAAGAGATTGATCCTGCGGGACCGCGCCAGCAAATAGGTATTTTCCATCGTACACTCCACTAACCCCCCCCCCCCTCTTCCCCGCCCGTCCGCCCGCCCGTCGTGTTCGCCCCCTTCCTTTCGCCCTCTGCACCCACTGCCGCTGTAAGTCCTGACCTCACCCCTGAGGAACCGTCCTGTCGCTGTAGCGATCGGTAAGTTCTCTCCTGACCGGAATCTCGAGGGGGTCCTGCGATACATATATATATATATATACATGTATATACGCACATATATATATATATATATATATATACATTCAATACATGTATATATTCAGGTACTCTCATTAACTGCATAATTAACCTTCTCTCGCGTCGCAGGGCAGCGCATTAGATCGAATTGTGGAGGGGTATAATCGGGTGGCTCAATGGCGGCGGTTCCGCGTGCACTTGCGCGAATGTGCGCAGCCGCCGGCGCGGCACGCATCCACAAGCACCCCCGCACGACTTTCGCACGCACGCACGCACGCACGCACGCACACGTATAAATACACGAGTGCGAGCGCGCGCTTATCCCGACGCACCGAGCTTCCTCGCGAGAGGGGCTTCGCCCGGCGCTAACCAACAGCCTAATAACCTTGCCTTGCCTGATGATTGACGCGCGCCTGTACCGGCTAATTATCAACAACAATCAATAATGGCCCTCCGAGAATGCCGACGCTACCGTCCCGCTGCGCCCGCGCCCACGCCTCCTCCTCTTCCTCCTCCTCCTCCTTCTCCTTCTCCTACATCGTCCCCTCTTCTTCAGCGTCACTCCCCCTCCAACCCTTTCGGTTTCCCTGCAATTCCACCCGTTTCTCAGCCGCCCACGCTGTCTCCGTCGGCGTGAATCTACATCGGCAAACGTGAGTTCGTTTAAAATTTTTCAGGGCTCTTTTTTCGACAACGGGAGAGGGATGAATTCACACCTACGTGGGTGAATAACGAATCGGAGGTCTCCGGACGTCGAGAGATATTTTGACGGAGAATGTCCGCCGTGATTTCTTGAGGAAGACCAAAGCGAGATAATCTTGCTTGAAATTATTGCTTTGGAGAATTCGGGAGTATTTAACGTCGCTTCGCAGGATGAGGGCACGGGGCGGAAGTACCACGGATCTTTCTGGCTCTTCCTGACCGTCCGAGTTCGCGGAGTAGAAATTGCGAACGCTTCGTGGGTGCAACGCGGCCGAGAATTATCAGTTAATTTAAGCCGGCATCCCGGAAGACGCGCAGCCATGCGTGCGTGCCGTTGGAAGTTTATCCGCTTACGACGCGCCGTGAAGTTCCAATCGACACCCGCGATGCAGGTCGCAAGTTTTCATGTAGAAGTTGCGTACCGTCATTCTCGCGTTTATACGGCGATAGACGTCCTCGTTCCACAACAGAAGATACATCTCGGGACACTCGCGCATACGGGGCAAGCTTCGCGTTCGATATAATGATTTTCAATTTGCGCTCTAATTTATACACGAAATCTGCGTAGAGTCGCGGTCGCTGGCGATAACAGTCAAACAACGGCGAACGAACAACAAAACCGAGCGTGTCGAAGGCGCGCTGACTGCGAGCCGATTTTGATCGAATCATATTTGCCGAGTCGTCCGTTGCACACGTTGAAACGACTGGAGCGGGCTTGAAACACGAAAACACGAGAGCCCGGGACAACCCTCGCGCTCATATTGTTTGCGCGCGAGACGACGATTGCACGTCCCGCGCACGGATATTCACGGAAGCGGATTTCTGCGACGCGCGGGGGTGGTAGGCGTGTACACGTCTGCTTCGAATA